GGAGTGCCGCACTGTCGGAGGGTCAGTACTGAGGGAGTGCCGCACTGAACTCTTGACTGTGACCATGCGTGTCTTTGCCCTTCAGGTGAGGCTGGGTTTGAATTGCTTAAATGAATTAGCTTTATTGTCACACTTACCGAAATGAGTCCAGCGAAAAGTTTACAAGTCGCCACACCGCGAAGGTACAGATTCTTGAGGGCGAAGAAAAAAAAAATTAGAAAAATAAAGAAATAAAAAGTCTTTCACTCAGCATTTAAAGTCAGGCTTTGAGGGGTTGGTAATAATGTAACCTTGTCCCGTAGGGATTGGAAAGAAAGGGAGGAGGGTGGGCTTTGCGGACCATACACCCGACTGTCCTTCCATCACCAACATTTCATCAGCTTCAGCTCATCTGAGCTGTGCTACCCTAACTCGCATCAATCTGTCACTTCCTGCACTCACTCACTGACCTATGCTGGCCCCTGGCACAGCAACGCTTGGATTTTAAAATCCTCGTCCTCACTTTCTCGCCCGTCCAGAGCCCTTTCCCTACCCGATCTGCATAAGATCCGGCTGAACATCCCCCATAATTCAGAAACTGTCGAACCTTCTCAAATGTTGGCGCCTGTGCAGGTGAAGTGTCACTGTCTATGGTCAAGGGGAATGGAATGTAAAAGTAGGACATTTTATTGTAGCTGTACAGGGCATCAGTGAGAACATACCTGCAGTACAGTGTCTCCTTGTTTTAAAAATGATAGAATTCCTTTCGAAGGAGCTCAGAGGACCCTCATGCAGCTCAGTCCTTGGACAAAGGGCTTATATTGTGAAGAGAAGCTGAACAGGTTCAGTCTGTGCACATTCGAGTTTCGAGGAGTAAGAGGCATTTTCACTGGAACGTCAAAATCCTGAGGGAAATTGGATACTGGGAGAGTGCTTCTTCTTGTGGGTGAAACTGAAAGCAGAGGGATGTGATTTCCCCTCGTGTCTATGTAGGTTTCCTCCAAGTGCTCTGGTTTCCTCGCACAGTCCAAAGATATGCAGGCTAGGGTGGATTGGCCATGGAAAATTGTCCATAGTTTCCAGGGATGTGCAGGCTAGGTGGTTTAGCCATGGGAAATACAGGGATAGAGTGGGGGGATGGGTCTTGGTGGGAGTAGGTGTGGACTCAATGGGCCGAATGGCCTGCTTCCACACTGGAGGGATTCAATGATTGAGAAATAAGATATCTCCCCTTCTAGACAGAGATGAGGAGAATCATCTTTTTCCCTCAGAGGACGGTTAAAGTGTAGAATTCTCTCCCACAGAAAGTGTTGGGGATCCAGGTCTTTAAATGTATTTGAGGCTGATTTAGTTAGGTTTTTGAAAGATATGGGAGTTGATAGTTACCGGAGAGGCCGGGGAGGTCGATAGACCAGAAGGTGAAACTGTTACCACAACCTGACCAGCGATGATCTTACTGAATGGTGGAGCAGGCTCGATGGGGGCGAATCCTGCTTCTATATTGCTGACTACCTACACCCGAAATTCTGGAAAACCACTCCAAACATCCTGGCTCCCCACCCCAACCCCCCGGCAACTCCCAAACCCCAGCGCTGCCTCCATGCTCCTTAAAATGTGAAACCAAGTCACCTGCCATAATAGCTCCTTATCATATTCGCTATCAAGTTTTATTAAACAACTAATCTCGGGACGTTTACAACGCTGGTTCATTTTCGAGATAGATATCTGTTCAGCGATGTATTTACACTCCTCTCAGGCAGGTAAGACCTGAACTTATTGATCCAGAGGAAGGGATATTACTGCCGTGCCAGTTACTTTTAGACAGAATGTCACACTCATGCCTTTAGGTAAGTTACAAACAGCCCGAGGAAAATGGGCATCCGCAAGATGGTTGCAGTTAGCACTCAATATCCCTTTGCTTGACTGAGGTGCTGAGTATTGTAGCTAAGAAAGTGACTCTGAGGGCTGCTGTGGTGGAGTGGTAGCGTTCCTACTTCTGAACTAGGAGACCGGGGCTCAAGCCCCACCCGGTCCCGAGGTGTGTCATAACATCCACGAGCAGGTCGATTACAAAATTTTGAAACATATAAGAGAGGGTTTTTGAGGCTCAGCAGTAGTGAGCGAGAAATTCCAGGTTCTCGTCCCACCTGCCCTGGACGTCTGTCATTATGTGTCTGATTAGAACTACTCCAACACTGCTGGTAGTTAATCGAATGCAGCGGGTGCAAGGTCTTTTTTCCTAAAAATAAAGAATTGACGCTGAGCAGATCCGTTCAAGAAATGGATTTTTATTTTTGCACTGTGCTGTCAGGAAGGGGCATAGTGTCAAGAGTGGAGACTTTCCTGAGTGAGGCAAAGGCCGAGTGAGTGGGAATTTGGCTCAAAGTAGAATTTTGTGTAAAAGAGGACCGAGATGCTTTATAGGAGGTGTACTGTACACGTTAAACTCTCTCCGTATGAGCAGGAGAAGATAAAAAGGACCGGATCCAAAGGTGAGCCTGCAGCGAGATCAGCCGTTGGCTGACATCATGAGTGCTCAGGCCTTTGAGTATAGGAGCTGGGACGTCATGTTAAGGTTGTACAGGACATTGGTGAGGCCTTTTCTGGAGCATTATGTCCAGTTCTGGTCACCCTGTTACAGGAAGGATATTATTATCTGGAGAGGGTTCAGAAGAGATTTACCAGGATGTTGCCGGGTATGGAAGGTTTGAGTTATAAAGGAAGGCTGGATAGACTTCTTTCACTGAAGAGTAGGAGGTTGAGAGGCGACCTGATAGAAGTTTATAAAATAATGAGGGGTATAGATAGGGTCAATGGTAGTTGTCTTTACCCGAGGATGGGGGATTTCAAGACTAGGGGGCACATTTTTTGAGTTGGGAGGAGAGAAATTTTAAAAAGGCATGAGGGGCAAATTTTTTACACAGACGGTGGTTCACATGTGGAATGAACTTCCTGAGGCAGTGGTGGATGCAGTTACAGTTAGAAAGTTTAAAAGACATTTGGATAAGTACACGAATAGGAAAGGTTTGGAGGGATATGGGCCAGGAGCAGGCAGGTGGGACTAGTTTAGTTTGGGATTGTGTTCGGCATGAACTGTTTGGACTGCTTGATGACTCTATGTGACATGAATGCAGGGACAGCTGTTGATTGGCAACTGGAATTGGCGAATATTTCTAAACTGTAAAGTAAAAGTAAGGTCTTACTTTGTGCTTAGGTCCCTGGTGTTTTTCAACTCTCCTTTCTTAAAAGATTGATGCTGGTGTTAGTTTTTATAGTTTAAAATGTCACAGCAAAGTGTAAAGAGCAGGGAATCTACAGTAAGTAACAAATTGAATCAAATACAAGAGAGTGGGTGATGTGACGCTGCTGCAGCATGTGGAAGCTGCTGGACACCAAGGTGATCCAGAACAAGCATATTTGCAGGCTGAAACACCTCAGCTCCAAGTTGAGGAGCTGGGATCTGAGCCGAAGACATTGCACCGCACCAGGGAAGGCAGGAGCTGCCTGGACTTTGTGCCAAATCATATCCCTCAGATTGGGTCATTTTGAATTTGGCCTGTGGTCAGTGACAGGAGGGTGTAACTGCAGGCTGAGGCAGGTAGGGGGACCCAAGAATAGCATTCAACCCCCAATATTGTCCAACAGTTACGAGGTTCTTACACGCTGCATGGACGAGAGTCAGAACGCAGAGAGGATAATTGAATTGGCCCTAGCACCATGGTACAGGAAGCCAGTCAAGTGGAGGATGGAAATAGGAATGTTACGGTGATAGGGGCAGTGTAACTAGGGCGATAGGCTACTGTTCTCTGCAGCCATGAGCAGGAGTGCTGAAGGCTGCGTTGCTACCCAGTGCAAGAGTTAAGGACATCCACTGAGTGTTGTCGAAGAACCTGGAGTGGGGAGTGGAGGGATCCAGTCATCACCATCCACAACACCAACAGGACTAGGAAGGAGGGACTGCTGAAAAAATTTGAACAGTTAGGAGGTAAATTGAAAATCAGAACTTCCAAGGCAATACTCTCGTAATTACTACCTAAGCCACAGGCAAGTTGGCACAGGGTAAATAAAGTCAAAGGTGTTAAATGTGTAGTTCAAAATGGGAGCAATGAGTTTCACTGAGTTTGTGGGTCACTGGAACCAGTACTGGGGGTAGGAGGGAGCTGGGAGGAGGAATGGGCTTCAGTCAAACCATGCTGGGACCAGAGTCCTGGCGAACTGAATAATTAGGGCTGTAGAGAGGACTTTAAACTAATTAGAGGAGGGTGGGTTCTGGAGAAGGGATATTTATGATTACAAATCAAAAAAAGATACTGCAGCATTGTGGGAAAGCTATTTAAATAATGATCTATTTAGATAATATAAAGTGAGATAGGAAGGGACAGAGTGTCCAAACTTGGGAAAAAAAACCAGCAACACTTAGGTCAAAGGTGGAAGCAGTGGTAAAAAGGCAATCTAGTAGCTGTTCACTTGGATGCAGGTCATTTGCGGATCAAAATAAATGAATGAACAACAGAAGTAGAGATTAAAGGATATGATCTTATAGCCATTGTGGAGACATGGTCACAAGGAGACTAAAGTTGGGAATTAAGTATTTAGGGGGATGTGACTTTCCAAATGGACAGGCAGGAAGGAAAAGGTGATGGGATATCTTTGTATGAGATGGAATAAGTACGATAGCA